TCATATCACTGGAACAAGGTTAGGATTCATTCCTCACCCTGTCCTCCCTCCCCCCGCAGTGCATCCATCAGAACAACATGATGAAGCCCCATTTTGCTTCATTTTACATCAACATGTAACTGAAAACAGTCTCCTCTGGGAAAGAATTTTTAAAGACAACAAATTCTTATATACATAAATAAAAACGTCTTGGTTACCAGAGGTGGAAAGAGTATTAAAATATTCCACTCAAGTAAAAGTACTACTACTTCAATGAAATTTTACTTAAGTAGAAGTAAAATTAACTGTCTAAAAAATTAGCTGATTTACTCCGAGTAGCTGAGTTACTTTTTTAACTGCGGGGTGAGATGGGGGACTCTCCCGTGTAGGGTTGTAATGGTATGAGATTTTTACAGTATGATAACGTCTCAGAAAATATCATGGTTACAGTATAAATTATTAAATGAATAAACGATATTGTTAAATTATGGTTATTATTATTAAAATCATCCGTTAAAATGACAGTTAAATTGGTTGAACAAACGCTTTTATTATAAAAACCTGGAAACCTGTTTGTTTTGCTTATTAAAATTTCAATAAAACATGTCTAATCAATTAAATTCAATAATGAATTAGATTAACAACTTATTTTTAACATTAATAATTTATCAAAATGTTTAATAATAATATATTCCGATGAAATTTATTTTATTCAGAAAATGAATGTTTCTCTTTATGATTTATTTCAAATATATTATGAAAAACGGTGGTGATCAAATGAAAATTTAAACTTGTGTCCTTTTATTTTTGGGGGGAAGCACTGCAAAAACAGATTTACGAAATGAAACCATGTACAAAAAATTATTCTTTAAATAATGTTTAAATAAATTGTATTAATTATTTTGAGAACTACGTTCTATGCCTTCAATTGTAATACATTGCTGTCATAATTTCCTTCTAGTTAAAGCAAACTTTTATTTTGACAGGTTGTAGTGAAGACCTGTTTCATATGGGATTAAAATTCTGCCATGATTCAAAACTAAAAATAAAGTTCTGAAAGAAAGTGTACGAAAAAGAACAAAAAAAAAAACAATTGCAAGATTGAAAAATAAGATTTGCAAACTCAAAAATTAAAAAAAAATAAAAAAATTTTTAAAAAAAATTCTCTGCAAACATGTTTTTGATGACATGTCGTTCCCTGACGAATTGGGATCACGCTAGGGAGGCTATTGCCTTCGAGAGAATTAAAAAAGAGCCAATAACATTGGCATGCAAAATTTCTAGACTATTATCCTTGTCCTGTGTTGGTTCATAGTTTTTGTTTGTATTTTTTATTTTATTATTAAAATAAAGCAACTCTGGACGCGTGTCCTCGCTCTTTTCACCATCCCCAAACCTGACAGTCAAGTTTTTTTTAAAAAAGTGAGCTTCCCCTCTTTGAAAAACCAGCAGTTCCTGGGTGGCAGTTCCCATCCACTGCTACTGACAAAAACATGAACCCAGTACTCTTGGCAGCAGACTTTCAGCATCTTTCCACACACTTTTCATCAGCCGACAAAGCAGTGGACTACTGCAACGGCCATCTGAGCAGCCTCCTGGACCTCCATGCCCCTGTTAAAACAAGAACAGTCACCTTCACCCGCTTAGCTGTGTGTCTGTGTGTGAATGAATGAATTAACGGCACAGACACGTGCTGTTTTTTACTACAGCTCTACAGCATGCGTCTGTGCTTAATTGCTTATTATTTGCAGTTTGTTGCATATAATTTGTAGCTTGTCCCGCCTTTTTCCCGGGTTTCGGCACCAATGTAACGGGGTTCGTTGTTATGGAAAGAAGGAGGCGGGACCCGGCGAACATTCAACACTTAAATAAAATAAACAAATTCAAAAAGAGAGTACAAGCCAGCAGCCCCATGGCCATTTTCAGGAGAGCGCCTGCAGGTACTATGTGAAGTTGTAATTCATAGGCAGGATTATGCTAATTGTGAATGAGTGTGCACACTACGATTTACAAAATTATTGAGTATTCAGAAGGTTCTCTAATTAATCTTTAATTAATTAATCTAGGTTCTCAAAAGTAATCTATCCAGCCTGGTCTCATTGTTAATACGTAGCTATTTTACGTTTTTGCAAAGATAGAAAACATACTTTTTAGTACGTTTGGATAGATGCTGAAACGTATAATATAGACGTATCTGCAATATTTAAACATAGCATTATTAAGTTTTTACAGCTACAAAACGTAAACTATTTACGTATATTCTATATCATAAAGATATCTGTATAATTTCCCTTTTTACCATTTTATAGATAAATGTAAGATCCAGTAACCCCAATCCCAAACCTAAACATACCTATGTTATACTTAATATAAAAAAGGATAAAACGTAATGGACAGATGTGTTGGGAAAGGGCAGTTTTATTAACAATATAGCATTAAAATATGTTTTGACCAACCAATCCTACTCCTACCCCTAAACCTACCCATAACAATTCCTTAAAACTATGTAACAAACTACAATTATGAAGAAAAACATAACTAACAGACACGTATAATCACAATAATTTATTTATTGCGAAAATGTCAAAACCGATACCAAAAGCCGTTCACATGATGAAGCGTTGCAGTCGCAGTCTTCTCTCTGGCAGTATTGTAATAGTTTTGTATGAAGTACAGAGTAGAAAATAAATCACTAATGAAAATCTTCGGTTCGCGCTTCTCCATTTCAAATGAACTAAACCAACCGTCACAGTCCTTCATGTCGCAAACTGTGACGAAGCAGGGAAGAGCCAATGAACGTTTGATATCACTGCCGTAAAACATGACGTATCGCTTCTCAAGGGCGCAATTTTTGATTTTGAATTCATCACCAGCGCGGGGTTTGACATGTACGGTCGCTGCTGAGAATGGAGAGATCACGACTGGATAAGAGGCTGAATTAGTCTCTTGCAAACAACTATGGATTCAAAAGATTTGGATTACATCAAACTAATAAAATTGATGTCTTTTGTGATTTTTTGTTGTGTTTTATAGGAGAAAACGCTTTATGTGTCTCAAGGTAAATAGACTATTACAAAATGGTTGAACAAGTAACGTTAAAGAATGTATTTTTAAGGTTTTATAGTGTATTGTTTAACACCATGCAGGCGAAACGAGCAAAATATGACGAGTTAATATTTATGAGTATTATATCAATAATGCGACTGAAAACTTCATTAATGAGAATGCAATGGAATGCAATAGAGTCAAAACATAATGCTACGATAGTAATATGCATAAATTGTGATACGTACAAATGCATACGTCGATGGATTTGTTCACATGTAAATAATTTACGGTTTTGTGTACTGTACTGTCAGTACGTCAATACGTAAATATTTTACGTTTTAGTACTGTCAATACGTAAATATTTTACGGTTTAGTACTGTTATACGTCAGTATTATACGTTTCTGCACATATAAAACGTAATTATATACGTATGATAGAACGACAATTTACATACAAATACATACATACATATTCTCATGAGATCACTTTGATCTATCTATCTATCTATCTATCTATCTATCTATCTATCTATCTATCTATCTATCTATCTATCTATCTATCTATCTATCTATCTATCTATCTATCTATCTATCTATCTATCTATCTATCTATCTATCTATCTATCTATCTATCTATCTATCTATCTATCTATCTATCTATTGAAGAGGCAAGGGATTTTGACCACCCCTTCAGTCAAATACTATCTATCTATCTATCAGTATAGTACAGTATATACGTACTGTACATTTCTCAACTTCAACTCAACTCAACTTTTATTTATAAAAGCACTTTCAAAACCATTAAAATGGACCAAAGTGCTGTCCACAGGCAATAAATAATACACAGAGAGATAAAATTACATCAAGACATGACACCCAGATAATCAACCCACAAATCGCTCACAGTTCTCGGACCTACTCAAGTGCCAAAAGCTTGATGAAATAAATAAGTCTTCAAATCCTTTCTAAAAATGTCCGTGCTTGACGACGATTTGAGAGATAATGGCAGCACATTCCAGAGTGCAGGAGCCGCAACGGAAAAGGCGCGAGATTTATTTTTTTATACATTTATTTTATTTTACATTTATTTTATGTTATAAATGACACATATATCCTGTTGTACATAGGTACTGTATGTATATGTATGTGTTGCACATGCTTAATACTAATCAGTACTAAGAGGGAAAAAAAAAATAGTTCTTGAATTTTGAATGCCTTCCGATAAGCCTAAAACACTGCTTTTCTCAAAACGTTTTATCCCACAGAGATGTGACCTGTTAAGCTAATTGCATTTCTAGAAGAAAACTATGCATTAGGGAGAAGCATTTTACATAATTTTGTTTGGCAATAGAAAAACACTATTAACAGCACAAGAGTGCTCGCCTATGAAAGAAGCTAAAAAGTGTGAAAGTAGGGTCAAGATCAATACGTTATTTCTGCATCTTCGGTGTCATCCGATCCTAGATCGGGAGACAGGCACTAATTTAAATTCGTGCCGGAGCCCGGTGATGCTACCATTAATTCCTGATAAGAAAGGACCGTTGTACTGCTTTCCTTAATCTTTGACTGATGCTTCTGCACAATCAATATCCTTTCTTTCTCTTTTTCCCTTTTTCTTTTTTTTTTTCTCTTGAAGATTGATTGTTCAGAGTTGTGAGCTGTTTATGCTCACTCCTCACGCCTCATTATTGTCGCAATTAGGATGTCTTCTAGGACTTAGGTGGGGGTGGATGGGTGGGGGGCCGACATTGAAACCCACTGACCCTCCTGGCGTTCTCATCTTGTCCGGGATGTTCAGCGAAGCAGCCTTTGATGGCAACTTATTGTGGTCAAGGGGTAAGAAAGCATCTCAAACAAGTGGATTAAGTGACAGAGCGAGAGGGGGCTGCGAGTGTATACGTACGCGTATGTGTGTAAGAGAGAGAGAGAGAGAGAGAGAGAGAGCGGTAGACGGAGAGAGAAAGCGAGAGGTCTTAGAGCGTGGGGGGTGTTTGAGTTGCCGCTGCTTGTGCCGGTGAAGAGGAAATAATCACAGTGTTGCTTCCTGATGAATTATTAAGAAACCCCCCAGCCTCTTTTAACTTGAGCCATAATGCTGCATTTTCATCTGTGTCTATAAAGCAAAGAAGAGGTTTGGTATATGTTTTTTTGTTGTTGTTGTTGTTTGTTTTCCTAGGTGTATCACAGCTGGTAAGCAGGACTCGTAAGCGTGCTGAACAAGTGCTCAGATGAGCAGTCCAAGCGCAGCACTACGAGCATCAGCACTGAAGAGCTGGAACTGAGAGACAGAGGCAATTCCCTCCACTGCACGCGACTGCAACGGCCGCCCTCGCTCTCGCTCTGCATGCCTTTTTTTCCCTTCCTTTCTTTCTGGAGTTGAGATCTTGTTCGTCAGAGCAACGGGAGTTAGTAGAAACTGGGGCTCCAAGCTTTTATCCAAGCATCCCAAACGCAGACCTGGCTGCCCACATGCCGATCGAATTTGTTTGCAAAATCAAATTTGCAGAGGAGGATGAGAAGCAAAAAGGCAACCAGGATGGGGACAAAGAGAGCCTGATCGAGGAGAGCTGCAGCCCCCCAGTCAAGGACCTGGCCGGCTTTGCCAGTACCAGCTCTCTCCATGGAATTAACCACATCTTTGTGTCGGGCCGGCTGGGAGTCAGACAGACCCTCTGGGCTCTAGTGTTTCTGGTGTCCCTGGCTCTCTTTCTGTACCAGGCGGCAAAGTGTGCCATCTCCTACCTGGAGCATCCTCACATCACTGCGCTGAACGAGGAGGCCACCCCGGAGATGGTGTTCCCCGCCGTGACCATCTGCAACATCAACCGTTTCCGCTTTTCCGCTCTTACCGACGCCGACATCTACCACCTGGCCAACCTGACCGGCTTGCCCCCGAAAAACAAGGACGGCCATAAGCCCACCGATTTGGAGTATCCGGCACCGGACATGCAGGACATCTTTAACCGGACGGGTCACCAGCTGGAAGAGATGCTGAAGAGCTGCAACTTCAGTGGGCAGAACTGCTCGGCTGGAAACTTTACAGTGGTAAGCGTGAGGAAAGATTCTGATTACGGTTTTAAAAGTTGCACTTTTGCTTTAGGAAGTTAACTTGGAAAAGAAAAAAAAAACACTTGTGGCTATTTATTATTAGAATCAATAACATTATGGAGGGTTAATGAGCAATATGTCCATATTCCTGTCATATTGCAGGAATAGTGAGTTTATTTGCACTTTAGGACTCAATGTTCTTTTCTCAGGGAAAACTTAGGAGTCTGCAGGTGTTGGAAACAAAGTCAATTTATCTTTACAACAGAAAACAGTTTCTGTCAGCAGTGAGGTGGATAGATATGTTTTTTTCTCTGGTTTCCCCTGAAGTGACTATTCATTTGGACATAGTCTTTGTAAATAGGGCACAGACTGGGTTTGCTACCCTCATTGTGTTCACAGGAAGGATCCTGTTTCCCTGTGTGCGTGATTTCTTATAATGTACCTACAACAGCGGGATATTTAGCTGTTCTCCTCAAGGGAGAAGAACAGGGTGCATGTGTATATTTGTATACTTCTCTGATGTTTGATACCTCCACTAGTGTCAGTCGCTGAAAGTCAGCATGGCAACAGTATTGCTTTGTAAAAACTCACACTCACTTTTCATCCTGCCTATGCCAAGAGTGAAGTTTCCTCAATGTTGTATTTCAATCCTGTCACTGTTGGAATTAAATATTTAGAGTCTGAAATCATACATGATTTTTGCATTAGCTAAATTGGTTAAAACGAATGAAATAAATTCCATAAGCCCATCAAGTGCACTTCAGAAGTTCTTACATGTGTCCATCATGCCATATTTATTAATGTTATGTGTACCGACGGATGAATGAATATTGCTTTGGTAATGGCAAAGAACATTTGTCAAGTCATAATAGTATGTGTTGGACATACATAGCCTTGCCTTCCAGAGACATTCAATGTCTTATCCTGATGATAACATGTAGTGACCCTTTGATGTGTCATATAGCTTTAGTATTCTGTTCTACTCAATGTTTCTCTCTCAGGTAGATACATATGTTTGATCCTAAGTACCATTTATGATACAAGGAATTAAAAGTGGCAGTTGAGACCCCCGGCTTCTCTCTTCCACCGCTACTTTCTTTCACCTCTTCTGCTTTCTCTCCCCATTGGTCATGGCAGGGAAAGTAGAGTTCTGCAGAAAGATAAAAGCAATGCTCAGAAGAGAAAGTGCTAAAACATGTGACAGGCAAATTTGAAGTATTGTCCTCACTGTTGTGTGTGCTTACTGCATCAGACATTGAAAGACACATTTTCTCACTGTCATGTTGTTCCAAACCTGTGTGATTTTTTTTCTTGAATGCAAAAGCACCATAAAAGTCTCATAAAAGTCTGTATGACTTTAGCATTATATGAAAGTCTTCTGGAGCCACATAATAGCTTTGTGAGATGAATAGTTGAGGAACAGACCAGAATTTAAGTTGTTATTGAATTAAAATCATCTGGCCTTGGCCTCTTTGATATGTTCTCAGGAGATAATAAAATAAGTAATAATGTCTGATTCATGAACAAATGATTCTTTTGAGTGATATCTTTTTATTAAATCCGTTGGTCTGATAATTCATCCACAAACCAGGTCAGAATAAGTTCTTCTGACTCATGACTCCCCTGTTCCATTAGCAGTGATTAATAGCTGTTGAAGAGAAGTCTTATCACTTAATATCAACTTAAATTCCTTACAGAAAGTTATTTTATTATTTCAAAAGACTTAAGGTGTGTTCCATTAGCAAAATTTCACAGACAAAAGAAGGTCCATTGTCAATAGTGTAGCAATGTATGAACAACAGCTTTAGAAGTTCGAATAGCTTTCTGTTGGTCAGTCTGATTCCACTTGACCAACCTGGACACAGTCCGAAGTCTGCATGTTTAAATTATCTGTCATGGATTCCTATTGAAATGAAAAAATTTTGTCTGCAAAAAAATTTTGTCCTCAATTACCATCCATTGTAACTGCATGACAACAACAACAACAAAAACATCAGTAATTTCTCCATTTGTCTTTCACTGCAAAAAGAAAGTCCTGCAAGTTTGTAACAACATGAGGTTTAGTAAATGAGGATTTTTTTTTTTTTTTAGAATAATCTTTAAAAGTATTTGTTTCTGAAGATGGAGTGGGCTATCCTATATGAGGCACAGACCTCTCTCGAGCCACATAAGTATATCTTTATAAATTAATCTGCTTGGAAAGTTCCCTGCTCCACCATTCTCTCCCATCAGCCCTGTGATCTGTGTCTGAGAGGCTGTCAGTTAGATTAGTTACAGGCATCTTGTTGTCTCCACGCATGACGAGACACTTCGTCCATCCCACGGGCTGCACAACCCAAGCAGAAAAACAAGGAGCAATTTTGGGAAGTATCTCTTTAGCCTTTTTTTTCTGTGTGACAAGATTGCAGATGTAAGAGTAAACGGGATTACTGCGACCATCCCGGAAGCTTTGCATTAACAGCAGACGACTGATATTTTTAGCATGAAGTGTGAGAGATGACCTTAGCTGAGCTCGCTGGCCTCTTGGTGCGTGCGGATCACTAGCCTGAGGAATAAAGCACACGGCGTGCTCGTGTCTAGACGATTCCAGATGCTGTATTTATTTAATGTCTGCATCAGCAGGGAAAGCGGTATATTTTCGATCAATCACATCCCTGGCATTTAGCCCCACTACTTTGGTTTCAGCAATTGCACTCATAATATGAGCTGTTCATTTGTCATTCCCACACCCTGTGTCCTAGAGCTCTTCTCGCTCAGAAACATTGTGGCAATAATCATTATACCAAAAGAACAGAGGAACTTTTGAAAGTCTGCATCGTGGATCATAAGATGGTTTCATAAACAAAGAAAAGGGCTAAAAATCAGAGAAACATTCAAATTGGATGTGCATTTGTTGCCAAGCACAAATGTTTTTTTATGGTCTTTGATTTATGCTGATGTTAATAAAAATAGCATTTCCATTTTGCCTCATTGAGGTAAATGAATTATGTAACTGCATTCAATTTAATATAGCGTTTTGTGGATACAAGAACTGTTCCCAGAAAGCTTATTGCAGTTGACATGCATAACACATTTAAAATTTTACAAACAGAACATAAGTCTGGAATGTCCATGAAGTTTGTATTTATGTAAAATGAAAAAGTATTTAAATTACTGACACTGTCAGAAGGGTCTTAATCATTTCATGGTAGGGCTGCTCTATAATCGTATTTTAACCATGATCATGATTTCTGCTTCTTTTGATTAATCATCTGCAATATAATTGCAATATATCTGCAATTTATATATATATATATATCCATCTGCTTAGTTCTCTTTATCTTCTTTTCTGCTTAGCGATTTACTTAATCGTAATCTTTAGTGTATTATACACACTCTTTGTGCAATGCGAATATAGAGACAAAAACCGCTGATGATCTGAAAACACAGACAAACATTAACCTCAACTGAGCTATTCTGCTCAAATGAGAGTGTAATAGAGTCAGTGTGTTCCTTTACAAGGCCACTTGTGCTATTTGCTGTTACTAAATCTGTGATCAAAAATTCTTAGTCACAAACTGCAATAAATCCATACATGGATATTGTTTGCGATTGTGGTTGCTGAATAAATATACTTGCACACCTCTGAACTACAATACAATGTTTTTGTTGTCGTTGTTTTAATAGAAAAACATTAACATAATTTGAAATTATTGGAATTACTATTCAATGTTTTAGCTTTTCAGAAAAAGGTTTGCAATTTAATTTATAAAAATGTGTGCAAATTCATGGAACCCTAAGTTAAGGACTCTAAATCAGGTTTTGACTACACTGTGGGAGCCAAATGTCCCAAGATGGACAGTAAAACCCTGAAATCAGCTAAATTAGCCTAATACACATACTAAATAATGTCTGAATAAAATTGTAAAAATGCATAAATGAAAAAATAGAAAAATGTGTGTGTGCGTGTGTGTGATTTGCAGCATTATTTGCTTTTTTTTCCCCCCTGACATGGGGTATAATTAAAACACTCAGCTGTTATTGACTCATGATAATTGCTCACAATAGATATCATAATAAGATGTTTAGACATAATTGAATATAAATAGCTTCGCTTCACTATTCCTTTCCACCTAACTGCCAGCTCCTGGTGGTGAAGGGGATTGTGAATGCTTTAGCTTATTCCACCACATACATAGAGGTCTTTGGTTCTTTTAGCCTGCTCCACCGTGTGTGTTTGCTCTCCCGCTTGGTCTATTTGCAGATGCATTTTCCGATTTTGTTTTAAGCAGGGACAGATCCCTTGTGCATACATTCCAATGGATAACCAAGTGACACTGACCTAGATTGATCAAAAGCCCAGGGACAGGTAGAGAGGACAGGTATTATTATAGGGTCTCTGTTAGCATTTGTAAGGTCACTTTGGAACAATGTTGAGAAGCACATGCTTTATTAGATTTACTAGGGTACGGTGATACAGTATATCTTTAATAAAACAAGTCAGTTCAGAATTTTCAAATGTCAGGTGTCTTGTCTTGTGCATTTTGCAGCATTGCACAAGTAATCCTGCTTTCATGTGGTTAGAACTGTGACCTAGTTGTTAGCACATGCTCCAGACCAAAGGGTCAAGATTTGGCTGGTTAGTATGTGTTGGTAGATGCCATAACTATAGCTTCCACCATCTGGAAGCAAAGGCATCTTTCTCCATTGACAGTTATCAACTGTTTTCTATTCAAATAGTCCTGTGAGAGCAAAGCTGAATTTTCAGCAATCAGCATTATTTTAAGACTATCTAACAATCGAATTGCACAAGAAACAAAATGAGTATTTGTATTGGTTATTTTTTATCTTTGATAATCTATAACGACGATCCGAAGGCAGGATAGAAAACTTACTTGGTTACTAAAGTAACCTTGGTTCTCTCTAGAAAAAAGAACGAGTACTGCGTAATGTCTTATGCTAGGGAAAAACCTCTTTCCAACAAAACATTGAAGACAAAAATTATCCTTAAATTTTAA